CCTCCTCCTCCTCCTCCTCCTCCTCCTCCTCCTCCCAGAGGGGCCCTGGGGATACGGGGGAGTGCCAGGAAGTCTTCGGAGTTCGCATGCTGTTCTCGCTGGCGGTGGGGGGGGGGGCCTTGCGGGTGTCCTGCCCCGTGGTGCTCCTGGGCCTCGTCCGGGGCCCTGCGGAGACGCCGGCCGTTTCTCGAGCGGCCGTCCCTGACCTGAACGACGGCCAGAAGCCGAGGCAAACCTGGACATCCTGAGAGAATCGGGCAGCAGGTCCTGCTGAGCCTCGGGCCCCGGAGGCCTGGCGCAACCCTCGGGGACCCCGCGGCGCGAAGCCCGCTCGAAAGATAACGTCGAGAGCTGCAAACGCCCCACGTGTTGGAGAAAACCAGGACGTCGGAAACTGGGAGGAGGAGGAGGAGAAGGAGAAGAAGGCAATCCACAAGCAGCCAGACAACTGGCTGGAACACTGCGTCAAGGCACGTGGCTATCTACACGGCAGGAGAGTGAAAATATTGCTCGTCGCATCGTCTATCCACCGACGCGCCCATCTCCACCGCGACGACGACGACGACGACGCCGACGACGACAGTGGCAGCGGCGGCGGCGGCATCCAGAGGGCTCCAGAGTCTGCAGAGGGCACCAGAGGCCTCGGAGGTCCCGAGGCTCCCGGCGGCCCCGCGGCGCCCTTGGGAGAGGCCCCGGAAAGTGCGCGCGCCCAAGACGCCCCAGCAGGCGCCGATCCCCGAGCCTCTGCCCTCCGCCCCGTCGTCGTCGTCGCCGTCGTCGTCGTCGCCGTCGTCGTCGTCGTCGTCGTCGTCGTCGTCGCCGTCGTCGTCGTCGTCGTCGTCGTCGTCGTCGTCGTCGCCGTCGTCGTCGTCGTCGTCGTCGTCGTCGTCGTCGTCGTCGTCGTCGTCGTCGCCGTCGTCGTCGTCGTCGTCGTCGTCGTCGTCGGCGTCGGCGTCGGCGTCGGCGGCGTCGTCGTCGTCGTCGTCGGCGTCGTCGGCGTCGCTCCGCACGAGCGGCGGGCTCCGCCGTCGCCGCCCTCCCCCCCTGGAGCGCAGGCCGGGGCTCCCGGCCCCGCCCCCCTCACTGGGCCGTCCGCTGCGACGCCTCGCGGAGCTTCTGCATGAACATCCTCTGGAGCAGAGTCGGGGCGTTGCCCTAAGGAACCCTAAAACTCGGAGGTCCGGCGCGGATTTCTCGGATCGGCGCGGGGGCCCCCTGGCGGCGCCTCCGGAGCAGCCCCTGGCGCGCTCCGCGCGCCAGGGAGGGGGGTCCAGCACAGATCCAGGAAATCCGCGCGGGCCCCCGAGTTTTTATGTTTATGCCATTGTTCGTTCTCCTATTTGTGGTACAGTCGGGGCGTTGCCCTAAGGAACCCTAAATAAGGAACGAGGCCCCTTTTCTCCAGAAGTGAAACTTCGGTTCCCCGATCAAAAACATAGGGGAAACCGGAGGCGAGCTGTGAAACACTTCAGGAACACGGAGCCCCTCCCCAACGAAAAGGGTTCCTTCTTCAGGGCCCCGACTGTAGAGTCGAGCATGTCCCTCGACGCGAGGAGTACAGTCGGGGCGCTGACCTAAGGAACTCCAAAGAAGGAGCGAGGCCCCCTTTTCCCATCAGTTCAAGTTCGATGTCCCATCGAAAACCTGAGAAAAACCCAAGGCAAACTGTAAAACAATCAAAGAACACCGAGCTCCTCCCCAACGAATAGGGTTCCTTAGTCAGCGCCCCGACTGTAACGTCGGGTATGTCCCTCGACGCGAGGAGTAGTCTGGGGACTATTTCTCGTGCCGCTGCTTGCTATTGTTGAGCACGGTCTGACTATGTTCGAGCCTTGTTGGAGCATGGTTTGGCTACTTCTGCTGTGTGTGGGCCTTGCTTGACTACGGTTCATGCCCTTCCAAAATCCGCCTGCAGGGAGACATGCCCGACCTACACGTCACTCATTTCTGGTCCTGCTCAGTTCTACTTGCGCTCGCTTCTGATTGCTCCTGGCGCCCCGGTGGCCAGGAAGAGGCCCAGGCTAGAGCCGTTAGAAAAACGAAGGGGTCCTGGCCTCCCCCCCAAAAAAAAATCGACGAACTTTCGAAGATCCTCAGACAGGAACAGCGTGGAGCTCCTCTGGAGGAGCAGCGGAGACTCGCCAGCGCTCGGGCGCCCGCGGAGGACGAGGATGAGGAGGAGGAGGAGAAGCAGGAGGAGGAGGAGGAGGAGGAGGACGAGGGCCGAGGAGGAGGAGGAACTCCTCTGGAGGAGCAGCGGAGACTCGCCGGCGCTCGGGTGCCCGCCCCCATGCGCACCTCCTCCTCCTCCTCCTCCTCCACCTCCCTCCTCCTCGACTCCTCCTCCGCTCCTCCGCCTCCTCCTCCTCCTCCTCCTCCTCCTCCTCCTATCCTCCTCCTCCTCCCTCCTCCTCCTCTCCTCCTCCTCCTGCTCTCCTCCTCCTCCTCTCCTCCTCCTCCTCCTCCTCCTCCTCCTCGCCGCCGTGCGCCCTCCTTCCTTGGCGCGGGCCCGCGCCCCGAGGAGGGCCCTCCCCGCCCGGGGGAGCGGGCCCGGCACGCGTCTCGTCGGGGTCGGGGCGGTGGCCTCCTGCGAGGGTGGACGTCTGGGGGGGACAGCGCAGGAGAGAAGCGTCCGAGCAGCGCTCGAGAACAGCCCCCCCCACCCCCGAAAAAAAAGAAAAGAAACACCCCCCCCACCCAAAAAAACGCGAACCAAAGAACACCCCCCAGAAATACCCCCCTAACAAACCAAAAAAAATGTTTTACAACAAAAAAAAAAACTCACCCCACCCCCTCCAAAAAAAAAAACGCGAACCTCCCCCCCCCCCCCAAAAAAAAACACGGAAAGCGTCCCCAGACTGTGCTTTCGCTGCTCTTGGCGGCGCTGCCTGTCGAGGGGCATGCCCGACTCAGCACATGTCCAAGCGATGCCCGGCAAGCCGGGCAAGCCTGATACGCCTCGGAGGCCCGCGCGGCTGCCTTGGATCGGCGCTGGGGGCTTCCCCTCCCCCCCCCTTGCTCGCGGAGAGCGCGCCAGGGGCGGCGCCGAAGGCGCCGCCAGTGGCGGGCCCCGCGCCGATCCAGGAAATTCGCGCAAACCTCAGAGAAATCATGCTTGCGCCGTTTTTGTTCTCGTGAGCGATTTCTTGTCCGGCATTTCGACACTGGGCGGAGAGGGGGGGAGGGGGGGGGTCTGGCTCTGGACCTCTGCTCAACGCGACTGTTTGCAACAGTGAGTCCTGTGGTGGAGACTCCACCTGCTTGAAACAAACGCCTAAACCAGCCAAGATCCACTCCATACGGCCGAGGGAGGAGGGGTGCGAGGGCCCGCGCCGATCGGCGAAACAGTGAATAAGAACACGATCACCTTCGCTCCTAGTGAAGCCCTCGTCGTCCGAGAGCGAGTGGAGAGCTTGTCGGAGGACCTGCAGTGCGGGCTGCAAATGCAACTTTCGCCGTCGTCGGCGGCGGCGGTCAGAAATCTAGGTCCTCGGACACTTGCTTGCAGGGCTCGAATCAAACAGTGTTTTCCGTTGTCGTTTTGGTTTCGTCATCCCTAGTTCTACCTTCGTTCCACATTTGCTGCAAAACGAAGTCAAAACGAATACGGTCCACGAAATTGCCAAAACACCGTTTGGCTCGAGCCCTGCTTGTCTGGGGAATCTGCACCCCTCTGGGACGTTCGGGCTCTGGGGGGCTCCTGGGGGGGGGGGCAGGAGGCGCTGCCCGTGCACTGCCTCTGCAGGCGGGGGCGGATGGAAGGCGAAAACCCTCCCCCATGGGGGTCCTCCTCCTCCTCCTCCTCCTCCTCCTCCTCCTCCTCCTCCTCCTCCTCCTCCCTCCTCGCTCAACTCCTCTCCGTCCTCCTCCTCCTCCTCCCTCCTCTCCTCCTCCTCCTCCTCCCTGTTTGTCCTCCTCCTCCTCTCCTCCTCCTCCTCCTCCTCCTCCTCCTCCTCCTCCTCCTCCTCCTCATCCTCCCGCCCATCCCCGAAACCCGCGATCCAGGGGGCTGGGACCAGGGGTGGGAATGGTCCTTCGGGGTCCGAGAAGGGGAGAAAAAAAGAAAAAAAAAAAAACAAAAAGAAAAAAAAAAGAAAAACAAGAAAAAACAAAAAAAACGAAATAAAAAAAAAAACAAAAAAAAAAACAAAAAAAAAAAAAAAAGCCGCCGCCCCCACCCCCAGCCCCGACCCCCTGGATCGCGGGTTCGGGGATGGGGTCGGCACTGGGTGTGTGGGGGGGGGGTGCGCCTCCCGAGTAGGAGGAGAGGACCAGAGTTACGTTGCTCCTATCGCACTTAAGGACCACATCCCAGAATAACGCCGAGCACCGAGAAAGGTATCGAAACCGTGTCGAACGAGCACCTCCCCCCAGGGCCCGACACGTGCAAACCCTGCAGCTTCGGTACTCTCTTGGTGCTCGAAATCCTTTGTTTGGGAAGCGAACAATGACATAAACATAAAAACTCGGAGGTCCGCGCGGATTTCTCGGATCGGCGCGGGGGCCCCCTGGCGGCGCCTCCTGAGCAGCCCCTGGCGCGCTCCGCGCGCCAGGGAGGGGGGTCCAGCACAGATCCAGGAAATCCGCGCGGGCCCCCGAGTTTTTAAGTTTATGCCATTGTTCGTTCTCCTATTTGTGGTACAGTCGGGGCGTTGACCTAAGGAACCCTAAATAAGGAACGAGGCCCCTTTTATCCATAAGTTAAACTTCGATTTCCGATCGAAAACATAAGGAAAACCTGAGGCAAGCTGTGAAACACTTAGGGAACGCGGAGCCCCTCCCCAACCAAAAGGGTTCCTTCTTCAGGGCCCCGACTGTAGTCCAGGCTGCGGCGGGCTGGAACATCAGAAGGCCAGCGAGCGGCAGGAGCACGAGCTCCCCCGGAGGCCCGCGCGGCCCTCCCGTGGGGTCGGCGCGCGACCCCCCCCCCTTGCCCGGCACCTCTCTCTCCGGGGATGGACAGACCTCCCTTTAGTAAAACGTGGTTTAGTGAAAGCGACCTGAGGCCCAAACCTGGCGGGCGCAAGCCTGGAAAATAACGGCCGCGGCGCCCTCTCGAGAACCGAAAACGGACAGTTCACTAATCGACGTGTCACTGTGGGGGGTTCTGTCCACCCCCGATCTCTCCCCGGCTCTCGAGGAGCACGCCGAGGCATCGCCGAGACGTCGCACACCAACGGGGGGGGCGCGGCTCCGACCCGAGAAGCTTGCAGTGGAGACCTCGCCATCGCTCGGACGTCCGTTCCCCGTGCTTTTGTCGGTTTCGTGCGTGGTTTTTTCGCCGAATGATCAAGGACGCTCCTCGATGGTCCTCGCCGAAGTAAAACAGCACACGTCCGAGCGATGCCAAGAGACCTGACCTCAAGAAACCTTCCACAAGAAACCCAACCCTGAGACCCCAGGACGTCCCTCGATTTTGGTGTGGGCACGTCGCGCTTTCCGCAGCAAGAGCATCGAAACCCAAGAAACCCAGGGCACCCTGGAGGCATGCAGGGTGTGTTCTGGGCATGGGCCTCCGCTGGATGTTGCTGATGCCGTGCTGCCGCGGAGAAGGCGACGCACTGTGTGTGCAGCCCAGGCGGGCCGAGGAAAGGGCGCGAAGACGAGAGCTGAGCAGACGCGCTGTTCTTCGGACCCAAACATGTGCTGATAACAAATACAATGTTCTTAGAGCATAACCCCGATGTGTTAAAACAAGACAGCCTCGGACAGAAATGCTCTAAGAACAGTTCGTGCAGACTACAAAAGCTTATTGGAACTTTCATTGGTGGGACCGTAAGCGAGCCAGGACGCTTCGCCACGAAGCTCGGCCCAGGGCCGCGCTCAGCAAACTTCGGCGCGGGCGCGAACATCGGAACGTCTGCGGCCCAGCATTAAGTCGTGCCTGTCCCCCTACAGGGGGATTTTCGACGAAAAAAAGAGATACACCAAAAATACTCCCAAATTGCCAAAACAATACTCAAAAAAAGTCCCCATACTATGTTTAAACTATTTTTGAATATTCCTCCTGTAGAGGGACGGGCCCGACTGAAGCCCAGCATCTCCGCGCGGGCCTCGGACAATTCACTTAGCGGGCGAAGAACGGTGTAGAATAGACTGTTCCGTCACGGGGGGCACTTCCCCAGGGCGGCTGGAAAGTTTACACCTTGACGTGCCACCGTAGGGGCATAAACTTTCCAGCCGCCCCGGGGCAGGCGCCCCCGGCGGCGAAGAAGTGTCTGTCACACCGTTCTTCGCCCGTCCACTCACGCCTGTGCCGATTTCTGGCCCTCCGTCGCCAGCTTTGCCAGAGGACCGCGGGCGAAACGAAGACGCGCTCGTCGGAGCCGCCCTGGAGCTGGTGGTCGCCCTGGCCCCCGGCCGGGGGCGCCTCGAGCGGAGCGCTGCGCCCCTGCGGCGCCTGCGCCTCCAGAGAGAGGCCACGAAGCCACCGCCACCGGGCCCCTGAGATCCTGACGTCACTGAAGGGGCCCTGGAACACACAAATAAATACACCCAAATAAAAGGATCACCCGTATTTTCCTACATTTTCTGGGTTTTTGTCTTCCCCACCACTTCCCATGTTTTCCTATATTTCCTGGGGGACCGACGATTCATTGTGTCTGTGTGTTTTTTCCCTCCTGAGCCACAGTCTTCGCAGCGGGCGCCTCTGCCTTGCTTCGGGCCCCGGCGCCCTCTCTCCGGGGATGGACAGGGCACCCTGTGGCAAAACGTGGTTTCGTGAAAACGACCTCGGGCCCAAACCTGGCGGGCGAAAAGCCTGGAAAATGATGGCCGCGGCGCCCTCCCGAGAACCGAAACCGGACAATGCACTAATCGACGTGTCAGGGTGGGGGTTCTGTCCACCCCCGACTCTCACGGATCGATGCGGCTCGCAAAATACCGCGGGAAGATGGAGCCCAGGGCTCTGGTCGTGACTTTTCGCAATGCTACACTTTTTGCGCAACGTCGGATCCCAGAAAGCTTCCACAGGACCGAGCTGCGGCCACGTCTTGGTGAGCATCGGCCCCCAGCGGGGCCAGGAGGCCGCGTCCACCAAAATGGTGGGTCGCGGACGGGTCGCAGGTGGGTCGCGGGGTGGGTCGCGGGTGGGTCGCGGGTGGGTCGCGGGCCGGGTCGCGAGTGGGACGACGACGACGACGACGACGACGACGACGACGACGACGACGACGACGACGACGACGACGACGACGACACAACGACACAACGACACAACGACACAACAACAACAACAACAACAACAACAACAACAACAACAACAACAACAACAACAACAACAACAACACAGCAGCAAGCAACAACAACAACCATTTTAAGGCTGTACGCTCTTACTTGCCCGCGAGTCATTCAACACGTATACCCTACACCCTCGATACCCGCCCTCTTCGTCTTCGATCACACCCCTTTCGGGGGGATTATTTCTCTTTGCTGGGGCCGGCGGGCTTAGACGTACGGGCAAACCGGAACGGGCGGACAATCCTTCGGGGGCGTACATCTCTCTGCCCGCCATTGGAATTGGCGCGGGCCCTGCAAGAGGAGGAGGGGAAGAACGAGGGAGAGTGGGAGGAAGGGGAGGGGGAAGGACGAAGGAAGAGGGAAGATACCACGTTGTGAAGGCGTCCTTGGCGCGTGCGTGGTTCCTGAGCGCCGAAACGCAATTCCAGAATAATTTGTGAGGACGTCGCACGCGAGAGCGCAGTCCTGAGTACATTGTGAGGAAATCTCAGGCGGAAGCGGGGGCCCTGACTAAATTGCGAGGAAGTCTCAAGCGGGAGCGCCGTTCCTGAGCAAATTGCACGGAAGTCTCAGGCGGGAGCGGGGGTCCTCACTAAATTGCGAGGAAGTCTCAGGCGGGAGCGCCGTTCCTGAGTCAATTGCGCGGAAATGTCAGGCAGGAGCGGGGGTCCTGAGTAAAATTCGAAGAAGTCTCAGGCGGGAGCGCCGTTCCCATGTAAATTGCACGGAAGTCTCAAGCGGGAGCGGGGGTCTTGATTACATTGCGAGGAAGTCTCAGACGGGAGCGCCTTTCCTGAGTAAATTGCGCGGAAGTCTCAGGCGGGAGCGGGGGTCCTGAGTAAAAATCGAGGAAGTCTCAGGCGGGAGCCGTTGTTGTTGTAGCCCGGGGGGCAGGGGCATAGTTTGAGCAGGAAGACTTTCCTTGAGAACAAACAAGGTGCGAGCCCCGGGGGTGGCACTTTAATCGAAAAAATCAATGTGCACCGGTGGGGGGGATCAACTATAATTATTCTTCAAGAATGAGAGTTCAACAACAACAACAACAACAACAACAACAACAACACCACCAACAACAACAACAACACCAACACCAACACCAACACCAACAACAACAACAACAACAACAACCACAACCACAACCACAACCACAACCACAACCACAACCACCACAACAACAACAACAAGAACGGCAACATCAACAACAACGACAACGACAACAACAGCAGCAGCAACAACAACAATCACCAACAACAACAACAACAACCAACAACAACAACAACAACGACAACAACAACAACGACAACGACAACAACAACGGCAACAACAACAACAACAACAACGACAACAACAACAGCATCAGCAGCAACAACAACAACAACCAACAACAACAACAGCAGCAGCAACAACAACAACAATATGTTTAAGACTGCTCGCTCCTCTCTGCTCACGTGCCAACCAATACGTCTATCCCAAACATTCGATGCCAGCCCTCGTCGTCTTCGATCGTACCCCCTTAGGGGCATATCTTCCTTACCTGCCACGTGCATGTAGTGCAGCCCCTTAAACAAGGGAAGAGAAGACGTGTGGAAGGGGGAGGGAGAAGAATGGAGCACGAGAGAAATTAGCAGGAGGGCGGCTAGGAGCAGAAAACAAATGGTAGAACCAGACGGGTAGATCGGGTTGGCAGAGCCATAGCGGGCAGTGGGAAGGCGGGCCCAGGCGACCAGGTCGAGCAGGCGGGTTGCTGAAACGTGGGTCCTGCACGAATCGCGAGGAAGTCTCGAGGAAGTCCCACGCGAGCGCGCGATTCGTATAACAGATTGAGGAAGTCACGCGCGAGAGCGCGCTTTGGGAATAAATGCAGTGGTAACCGGAGGAGGGGATCAACAATACTTACTCTTCAATAGGGAGAGCTCAGCAAGAAGAACACGAAAAAGAAACATACTATCACCACCAACAACCACAACCACAACCACAACCACAATCCGACAACAACAACAATAGCGACAACAACAACACCACCAACAACATCAGCAGCAATAACAACAACAGCAACAACAACAACGACAACAGCAACAGCAACAACCATCATTGTAAGACAGTTCGCTCCATGTTGTTCGATCGCACCCTCTTGAGGGTATATCCCAAGCCCTCGGTACCCGCTCTCTTCGTCTTCGATCGTACCCTCTTGAGGGTAGATGCCCTTACCTGCCAAGAGCATACAGCGCAGCCCCTGAAACAGGGGAAGAGAGGACGGGTGGAAGGGGGAGGGAGAAGGATGTAGCACGAGAGAAATTAGCAGGAGGGGGGCTATAGGAGCAAATCGCCCGTGGCAGAACCAGACGGGCAGCTCGGGCGAGCAGACCCTAGCGGACGGGCTGGGAACGCGGGCCCGGGCGGCCAGGTTGAGAAGGCGGGCTGCTGAAGCGTGAGTCCTGCATGGATCGCGAGGAAGTCTCGAGCGATAGTGCGATTCCCAAGCAGATCGTGAGAAAGGCCACAGCGAGACGTGAATCCCACCAGCCCTCTGGGCGTAGGTGGTTCCGGGAGTTTCCTCTTCCAACCTCCTTCATCCCCTTTGGGGAGGGGTTTACCCCTCCCCCTAACCCCCTCCCCTGGACTTGGACAGGGGGGGCCGCTGGTAGTTAGAGCGTCCAAAACGGCCTCGGCGAGGAAGCCCAAATCATCGGTTTTACTAAGGTTTTGGCCGATTTGGGAGGCTCCCGAGGGGGGAGGCTAATTGAGGGACCCCCTTCCTTTGATCGATCACCTCCAAGATGGCCCCAAGAGCGCTCCCAAGGCTCCCAAGAGCGCCCCAAGAGGGCCTCAAGAGACGCCCAGGAGGCCCCAAGAGGCGACCAGGAGGCCCCAAGAGGCCTCCAAGAGTCCCCCAAAATACCCCCAAGAGGCCCCCAAGAGGCCCCAAGAGGCTCCCACGAGGCACCCAAGACGGTCCAAGAAGCTCCCGGGACCGCCAAGAGGCCCCCAAGACGCCCCAAGAGACCTCAAAGAGTATCCCAAGAGACATCCCAAGAGACTCCGCGAGGCATTCAAGAGGCCTTTGACTCTTCTGATCGCCCTTATCCTCCTCCTCCTCCCCCTCCCCCTCATCATCATCACCATCACCATCATCATCATCATCATCATCATCATCATCATCATCATCATCATCATCATCATCATCATCATCATCATCATCAATCATCATCATCATCACCATCACCATCACCATCACCATCACCATCACCATCACCATCGTCAAGACCACCACCATCATCGTCATCATCAGCATCATCAATATCAACATCAACATCATCATCCGCCTATTCCTCCTCCTCCTCATTCCTCCCTCCCCACCCTCATCATCCTCCTCTCTTCCGCCTCCGACTCCTCCTCCATCCCCCCCCCTTGGGGTACGACGGCCTCCCCAGCCCCTTGTTCCTCTGTATGCTGCCCCGCTTCCATGATCACCTCTACTCGCCTGGGCGTCGTTTCTGGATGGGCTGGTGGGGATACGCAAAGCGTCAAGAATTCCTGAGTGTCGAGGGCGCGGCCTCTGAACAAATTGTGAGAAGTCCCACGCGAGGGCGCGATTCCTACAGAAACTGTGAGGCAGTCCTGCGCGAGAGCTCGATTTGGCAATAAATTGTGAAGGGGCTACCAGGCAGGAGCCGTTGTTGATGTAATTAGCGCGGGGGCCAAAGACAAAGTTTGAGCAGGAAGACCTTCACTGATAAAAACCGGGTGAGAGCCCCGAGGGTGGCGCTCCAATTGAAAAAACACCATGTGCATGGGTGAGGGGGGATCAACAAAAATATTATTCAAGAGCGAGAGCTCCACACTTCAAGAACGAGAGTTTAACAAATTAATTATCCCGGCAAAGCAACCTAACAGCGATGTGTAGGAGCATATCTGGAAGCATTCCCCTTAAGATTCAGATGAGAATCCAGTTGTAGAGTTCTGCTGTTCTCGCAGTCGTAGTCGCATTCGCGATGACAGTCGCAGTGGCAACGGCAGTCACAGTCACAGCCTCAGCCTTAGCCTGCCTCAGCCTCAGCCTCAGCCTGCCCTCAAAGCCTCGCCCTGCCGTCAGCCCTCAGCCCCCACCTCAGCCTTCTTCACCGTCTGCATCAGTTCCCTGCGGCAGTCGGACGCGGTCATCCGAACTGCCTCGAAACTCAGACCTGCTCAGCCTTCAGAGCCCAAAAAAAAAAAAAAAAAATCAGCCTCAGCCTGCCTCAGCATCAGCCTGCCTCAGCTTCAGCCTCAGCCTCAGCCTGCCTCTGCCTCAGCCTACCTGCTTCAGCCTCAGCCTCAGTCTGCCGTCAGCCTCGGCCTCAGCCTCAGCCTGCCTCAGCCTCAGCCTGCATCAGCCTCAGCCTCAGCACGAAGCAACCCAGCTAGAAGGACAAAACGCTGAATGTACACCGATGTGTTCGACGACTGCGTATGTAATGATGTGACGATATACAGACTGAGCCCTTCGTGAATGTCTACATGTTTTTCTGACGCCTACAAACGGCGCTGACGTGTGTGAGAAAATTGTCCGCGCAGCAAAAGCCGGCGAAGCGTGCAGACAGCCAGCTGCAAAAGGTTGCGAGCGGCTCTTGGAAGACGTTTACGGAACGGAGCTACGGTGTCCGAAAACATTGGCATCGAAGCGAAGAGCCTCGGAGCCCTGCAGCCTGAGAAACACCGCAGGAACTCGCATACTGAAAAGGAATGCATTGCAAACCGCACGTTGCGAACCCTGCAGGCTGAGAAGCACCGCAGGATGTCGCATGCTGAAAAGCACTTGTACTGCAGAGCGCAGGCTGCGAAACCTGCAGGCTGAGAAGCACCGCAGGAACTCGCATGCTTTCGAACACTACTGCTCGAGACCGCAGCTGGAGAGCGGCAGACCGCAGGCTGAGAAGCACCGCGGGCAGAGAGACTTGCAAAACTCAGATGTCCTGATCGTCTTGGAGGAAGTCACGCCAGTCCGGCGGCTGCCAAGAATCGATGATGCGCCTGGAGCCACCGCCCGTGCTGCCGCCGATGTCCAGGTAGTCGCCATCGCCCCTGAACAGACGGCCGTGCCCGCACGCCAGAATCGCTTGGTTGCGGATTTGAAGCAGCGCTCCGCTCTCAAACATCTGCAACTCGTCCAGCTGCCTGCGCGTGAAGTTCGGCTTTGCCTGGCCAGCCTGGGCAGACAGATGGAGGGAAAGCCGCTCCCCCTCGTTGTAGCGCGCGATGGCCTCGGCCTTCTGGTGGTGCAGCCGGCGCCGCTGTTGCCGCAGAGCTTCCTCGGGAACTGCTGCATCACGGCCCTCACTGTGATCAGCTTGCAACGCTTGCGTTAACCAATCAACGTCGAAGCGCCCTGAGAAGGCCAGCACCTCCCAGATCTGTTTGGTACCGGCCACACGTTGCAAATGGCGATGCCACCGCTTACGCTTCTGGTCTTTCACAAACTTGGCGACGCTACCCAGACCTGCACCCTTGGCCTGGCCACCTTTTCCCGCAGGCTGAGAAGCACCGTGAGAACCTTTCTTACCGCCTGGCCCTTTGTTCGGACCCTGCGGAACCGCATGGCCCCCTTGTGGCGCAGACTTGCCTTTCGCTTTTCCCTTTTCGATATCCCGTTCCTGAAGCGCACGCTGCTGCCGCGACTGCTCGTACTGGTCGCGAGCTACTCTGACCAATTCCTGGCGCTCAGGCTCCGTGAGAACGTAGCGCATGTCGTCGATGTTCTTGCTCCGCAGAAAGTCATGTCGAAGCTTAAGGACAGAGAGAATGGCTCGGCCAGTCTCCTCCTGAGACGCAAAGGCCGTGTCATATTCCGAGCCAGGCTGAGGAGCGCCAGCTGGATCAGTGTCCGCTGGCTCCGTGGACTTCCTCTTTTTGAAAAGCAAGAGACTGAGATGATGGAGGACTTTCGGATCGTACTCCTCGTCGTACCTGTCGTCCCAAAGCTGCCTCAGCTCCCTGTGCAAGTCGTCCGCGCGATTCTGAACGACATCCTCGACGTAGTCGGGATCACCCGGTGAAGTCGGTGAAAGCGGAGGAGCAGAACTCGGCGACCGATCCCAATGCACAGAAGACTCGCGGTCCGCCTGTACGCTGACGTCGGCGTCGGAGACGTTTTCGACGACAATTTTCCGCCTCTTGCTCTCCCCAGGCTGAATAGCACCAGGGAGAGTGAGCACAACCGCCACCGCATCGTGTGCGTCGTTGCGCATGCCACGATCCGTAAAAGACGCGCCAACGGCAATGGAGCAGAAACGGGCGACTGCTCCGCAGACCGCGACGTGGTCGCCTTTGAGGTCGGCCGGAGTGGCATGGACCTCCCATACCTTCTCGTCGTTCTGCTCGCGCTGGTAAGCCTCCCGCGCCTCCTGGAAAGTGAGGTTGTCGTCGCCGACTACAAGCACAACGACTGCCTCGTTTAGATTCTCAAGAATCTTGGCCAGGCCGTCCAGGTGCAAGCGGAGATGGCGAACTGTCCGCTTTCGAGTCTGGATGCTCGGCGGTTTCTTGCCGCACACGATGTGCATGTTGGCGATCACCACGTGGAACTTGTCATGGCCTGGTTTGTTCACCTCAAAATGTGAAATAACAGCATCAATATCTCGGCCGCTAGGAGGCCTGTAAACTTTGCTGTCTTCGCACAGAGTCAGTTCCGCAGGCTGAGAAGCACCGCGGAACCCCCAGAGAGTCAAGTAGTTGTCGACCTCCAAGAAGCGAATGCCATCACCGAAAGGCTTACTGAGGATCTCTGTCACGTTGATCCCTGCTCGGCGAAAGCCTTCACGGAACGCACCGACCTCGCAGCCACAGACCATATCAGCATCAGCGGTCTCCACTATCTTGGCGCACAACCTTCCGAAGTTAGCGCAGTGAGTGGCCGCCTGCTTACCAGTCATCATGCCCTGCTCGAACCCGAAATTGAACGAGGCGACCGTGAAAGACGCAGGCTGCACAGCGCCAGAACCAGGCGTCTGTCCACCTTCCTCCGCAGGCTGAGAAGCACCGCGAGGCGGCGCAGGCTGAGAAGCACCGCGAGGCGGCGACACTTCGGACGAGCCTCGCGGAGCAGAGGCTGCGGATGAACGTTGGACATGGGGGTACGGCCAGGGGAACGCCATTGCAATCAAAACTCAGTGGACTGCAGTGAATGAATGTAGTGGCCAATTGAATGCAGAGGACTGCAGTGTCACTAGCAAGTCCTGAACCAAACACAGCTGTGGCGGAAGGAATATGAAGCGTCTGGCTATTCAAAATGTTGCCCGGCAATGGAGTTCTGGGGCGGGTAAAGCCTCCGACGCCGCCGAAGTGGCCAAGGCAAAGGCGGCCGACGCAGTGCGGCTCGAGAAATCGGCCAAGGAGCTGAAGGAGAAGTTGGAGGAGGAACTCAAGAAGAGCGAGAAGAAGCTCAAGGAGGCCGAGAAGGTCGCCACGGAGCTGAAGCGCAGGGCGGAGAAGGCGGAGGAGGATGCCGAGAAGCTGAACAGGAAGGCGAACCACGACGCGGTCGAGCTGAAGAAGAAGGAGGAGGCGGCCGCCGACCAGGAGACAAAGGCCCTCGCTCTTCAGAAGGAGCAGGAGAAGAAGGTGGCGGCGCAGAGGACCAAGGCAGAGGCGGCCGACACGGCAGCCGCGGCGGCCCAGGAGGCCGCGGACGCCGCCAAGGCCGAGTACGACGGCGCTGCGGAGAAGATCCACGCCGCTCAGTGCGAGAACAACGCGGCGTGCGCCGACGCTGGCCTCGTCGGCTTCTGCTGCCCCACACTCGTCGGCCAGGAGCATCCCCCCAACATACTCATACTATGTGTTCGTCGCCCCCCCCAGGGGCGACGCGCGCACCGAGAACTCTTGCAGTATGTGCGTCGTGGCGGGCGCTTTCTGGCCACACCGCTCGAGAAACGATCTGCTACAAGATGGGTCTACTATAGGTTCGGGTCGGACGCGCGCCTCCGAGGCGGACGCATCGTATCAGTATGTCTCTGTGCATCCCACAGGAGCTCTCCGGCATCATGCTGGGCTGCTGCCCCGCGGGCGGCGCCGCGGCCCTCTCCAACGCCACCCTGCCGGAGCTCCCGCCGCAGCTCGCCGGCCTGGGGCCCCGCCCGCCCCGAACTCGAAGACCAGGAAGTGGACTAGAGTTGGCTCTGGGCATCCAAAATGTAGCCCAGGAATGAAGTTCTGGGAACTCGAAGAGCACGAAGTGGCTTACAGTTGGCTCCGGGCATCCAAAATGTGGCCCGGGAATGGAGTTCTGGGAAATGGAAGAGCCGAGGTGGCCTATCAGTTGGCTCGGGCATCCAGGAATGTGGCCCGGGCCAATGCGCGTGTTGGGGGATGTCGAAGAGCACGAAGTGCGCCTAAGACATAAGTTTGCATCCGGCCCCCCTCGCCCCAAGAATTTGGCCCCCGGGCAGGCGTTCTGGGATGTCGAAGAGCACGAAGTGGCCTACAGTTTGCATCGGGCACACCCGAATGTGGCCTGGGAATGGAGTTCTGGGAAGGCGAAGAGCACGAAGTGTGTGACTGTTGGTGAAAAACGAGCCCGGCTCATGCCGCCCGGAAACGCCCCAACACCTGCCCGGACCCCCCTGTGGAGTGATCTGTGAGCTCTTTTGACACTACTAGAAACCTATCAGTCTTCGCTGTTAGGTAAAAAAACGCACTGCAGAACCCCACTTCAGCCACGCACCCAGGGACAGTGAAGGACCGTTCGGTCCCCTCACTCTGATTTCCCTCTATGCCCAGCCTCGGGCTTGGCCCTGAGCTCCGCCAGCACCTGTTCGAGGGCCCGCTCGAACTTCTGGCGCTCGGAGTCCTGGTGAAACCACAGCCCTCGGATCTTCTTCGCCGCATCTTCGACCTTGTAAAAAACGTAGCTCGTCTGGCAGTCGAGCTCCCAGTCCTACCCCAGAAGTCTGCGGAATGTCTCCAGGGAGGTCCCTGGAGCTCCCCGGAGTCCAAATATTCTGAACAACTGCAAAAAGGTAAACTTTCGGAGGTCCGCGCGGACTTCCCGAATCTGCGCTGGTTTCCCTGGCGCGCGCGGAGCACGCCAAGGGCGGCGCCGGAGGCGCCACCAAGGGGACCCCGCACAGATCCAAGAAATCCGCGCGGACCTCAAATATATATATATATATACATATATATATATATATGCGTATCCCGTTTTACTTCTTCGAGTCCGACCACGTCGAAACTCGATATTCAGACCCCTGTCCGGGTGGATGATGTCGACGAGGTCGTTGTTGTTCATCTGGTTCTTCACGAGCAGCTGGTACCTCGGCGCGGAGCGGCGCCGCACGAGGAACACGGGGCCCTCGATGTTGGCCTTCCGCCACCCGGGGTTCGGCGGGTCCTGCCAGGGCGCCAAGGACTCGAGCGACTAGGGCAGCTCATGCCAAACTTGGGCGTCCCACAGCGGTGCGGTGATGCGCCGCGCGGCGACCTCGGAATCCCAAAGGCCTCGCCGCGCGGTCGGTCACCGCACCTCTCTGGGATCCTGGAGGCCCCAGTCGCCCGAGACATTCTCGGAGAACGACCCAAGTCTCAAAACCCCCCCGAATCCCCACTGACCCACCACACGGTGTGGTCACCGCACAGTCTTGGAGCCTACGACAAATGTGCTCCACCATGTTCGGCGCCTGGCCTCATGACCGCCAAACAACAAGCCCCGAGATGAAGAAACGCCCCCCTGTGAAGGAGAGGCCGAGAGGCCTGGGGGTGGACGCACGGACGGAAACGACGAATCCGCTGGAGCCCTGTGGGTCCCCACGCGCCCCTTGCGCACGAAGCGTGCCTGGAGGGACCTGAAGCTGGCGTCGCTCTGGTGTTGGGCGCTCTCGGGAGGCCTGCGGCCGGGGTCAACTTTGGGCCGGGGCAGGCTCTCCTCAGGGAAAACTTGTTCGGGCTTCGACTCCTTCTCGTCTTCCTCCTCGCTGTCGGAGAACTGCTGGCTCGACCCTCCCGGGCCTCAAGCGCACCAGTTTGCCGAGTTGCGCCCAGCCCAGCCGTGGCGACAACGGGGGCCCCCTCCCGAGAGGCTGATGAGGCTCTGTTGAACGCCCTCACTGGTAGGGGGGGGGGGGGGCAGCGCGGAAGGCGCCGCTCTGGGCTGGTGGTGCGGGGGCCCAGGCGGCCTTCGGTCTGGTTCTTGCTTTCATCCGTGGCCTCAGCGCTCCCGACCCATTCCTCCTCCTCCTCCTCCTCCTCCTCCTCCCCCTCCTCCTGCCCCTCCTCCTCCTCCTCCTCCTCCTCCTCCTCCCCTCCTCCCCCTCCCCCTTCCCCCTCCCCCGTCCCACTCCTCCTCCTTCCCTCGCTCCTCCTCCTCCTCCTCTCCTTCCTCCCTCCGCCTCCGCGGGCTCTCCTCCTCCTCCTCCTCACGCCCTCCTCCCGCTCCTCCTCCTCCTCCTCCTCCTCCTCCTCCTCATCCTCGCTCCCTCCATCCTCCTCCTCCTCCTCCTTCCTCCTCTCCCTTCCTTCCTCCTCCTAGTCCTCCTCCTCATCTCCTCCTCCTCCTCCTCCTCCTCCTCATCCTGCCTCCTCCCTCCTCTCCTCCTCCTCCTCTTCTTATTATTCTTATTATTATTATTATTATTATTATTCTTATTCTTCTTGTTCTTCTTTTTCGTCTTCTTCTTCGTCTTCTTCTTATTCTTATTATTATTATTCATCTTATTATGCTTATTCTGTTTATTCTTCGTATTATCATTCTTCTTCTTCTTATTATTCTTATTCTTATTATTATTCGTCTTATTATTATTATTATTCTTCTTATTATTATTCGTATTCTTAATATTATTCTTCTTCGTAGTATTATTCTTCTTATTCTTATTATTATTCTTGTTATTATTATTATTCGTCTTCTTCTTATTATTCTTATTCTTATTCGTATTATTATTCTTGTTATTCATTGTCTTATTCTTATTCTTATTCTTATTCTTCTTCTTATTATTATTAGTCTTCTTCTTCGTCTTATTCGTCTTATTATTATTCTTCTTCTTCTTCTTCCTCCTCCTCCTCCTCCTCCTCCCCCTCCCCGCCTCCTCCTCCTCCTCCTCCTCCTCCTCCCTCCTCTCCTCCCTCCGCCTCCTCCTCCTCCTCTCCTCCCCTTCCGCCTCCTCCTCCTCCTCCTCCTCTCCTCCTCCTCCTCCTCTTCCTCCTCCTCCTCCTCCTCCAGCCTCCATCTCCTCCTCCTCCGCCTCCTCCCCTCCTCCTCCACCTCACTCCTCCCTCCTCCTCCTCCTCCTCCTCCTCTTCCTCCCTCCTCCTCCTCCTCCTCCTACCCTTCTCCTCCTCCTCTCCTCCTCCTCCTCCTCCTCCTCCTCCTCCTCCTCCTCCTCCTCCTCCTCCTCCTCCACCTCCTCCTCCTCCTCCGCCCTTCCTCCCTCCTCCTCCTCCTTCCTCCTCTCCTCCTCCTCCCTCCTCCTCCTCCTCCTCCGCCTTCCGCCTCGCCTCCTCCTTCCTCCTCCCCTCCTCTCTCCTTCCCTCCTCCTCCTCCTCCTCCTCAATCCTCCTCCTTCTCCTCCTCCTCCTCCTCCTCCCCCCTCCTCACATCCTTATTCCTTACTAGAATATACTCCTACTCCCCGCTCTCCCCGGCCGATAGCCGCCCCATCCGGGACGTTCCATCCGAACCTGCAAACAAGCCATACAAAATCAACCTGTTTCGTCATTTTGCCTCTCAACATGGACGTCCTGTCCTCCACGTCGATAGCCCCTTGCAGAATACCACAAAGTGCACGCGCGCGTTCATGGCACATTCCAACCAACACACACTGTATCTGCAAGCATGTCAACATACCCCCACCCCCATCCCACGCAAAAAACAACAACTGGCTTTCCATTACAAATATTCAAGATTCCTTCCGCGCGCAATTGCTGAAAACATTGGGGAAACCATACGACTCCCAGGGTGTCGTGTAAAAGCCAGCGATCTCATCACGCCGCGCGGTGCACTCGCGATGTTCTGTCATGCACCCATGGCGCGGATCGTGTGCAAACAACAGCACGCGGGCGACATGCGCGCGCGTCGCCGCGAGCGCATGTCCAAATCCTTCCAGAGTCGTCGCCATCATCGGCACCATCGCTGGCCTTGCCGTCGTTGTCGCCATCATCGCGGGTCACCGCCCTCCTCATCATGTCGCCACCGTGGTCGACGTCATCATGCCATCGCGCCCGACCGAGTCACCGACCTGCACCGAGGTGCCCGCGCGCTGGCGCGGCTTTTGAGACGCGTTGGGCCAGTTCTCATCGGCCACCGCAATCGTGACGGCAAGAATTCTGCCATACCAGCTGGCCGATTTGCGCGCGCGATGCGTTTTTGCCAGCCAAGCTTCCTGGGGCTTCCTGGGGCTTCCTGGAACTCCTGGGGTTTCCTGGAGGGGCTCCTGGCGTTTCCTGGGCCTTCCTGGGGCCTCCTGGGGAAGGACTCGCTGGGGCCTTCAGGGGACTCCTGGGGCCTCCTGGGGCTCCCTGGGGTGTCCTGAAACATCCTGGGGCTTCCTGGGGCCCTCTTGAAGCTTCCTGGGTCCTCTTGGGTCATCCTCGACTCGTGCTGAAATGCCAGCGCAGCCTTTGAGACGAGCTGGGGAGTTCCCGTCGGCAACCGCTGCCGCGGCCGCATCAGCTGTGCCAAACCAGCTCGCCGATGTGATCTCGGCTCCGAGTTGTGCCAGCACTGTTTCTTATGTTGTGGGAGGGCGGGTGGGATAATTGTGGGCATTGCCAGCAATGTGTTCCTGCTCGAGCTGGCTAACTTGACTCCTCCTCCTACTCCTTCTCCTCCTCCTCCTCCTCCTCCTCCTCCTCCTCCTCCTCCTCCTCCTCCTCTTCCTCCTCCTCCTCCTCCTCCTCTTCCTCCTCCTCCTCCTAGATCCACTTTGGATCGTCCCAGAGCCTGAGATCGGGACTGATCGGCCGAAATTGAGAAAGGTCGCCGGAATCTAAAAATCGCATCGTCTGAGATCTGATGGGGGGTAAAGGCTTCGGCGCTGGCAAAGGATCCGCCCGCGGACGTCCGAAGCTCGTGGTGGCTGCTGCGCGTTTGCGTCGCCTCCCAGGAACCTGCTGCAGGTGGTACGCCACGACGAACTGGGACCAGATCAGGATCTGGTCGACGTCGGGGTCCTGCGCTGCAACGCTTGCACGCTGGTAGGTATTGATACTGGCGCAGGCGCTCTGGAAAGCGGCGCTCTAAAATACCAGAACCAGACTCCGGCGCGCGCGCGTGGAAATGCATCAGACTTAGCACGCTCGCAGATTAGGCGAATGATCACCCATGACAAGGCGCGCAAACAGTGCACTAGAACATCGTGCTGCCATGGCACTGCAATACTATCTGGCGCCCTTGACATGGCATGCGGCATGCGTGCTATCAACGGCGAGGTCCTGCTGCTGGAGCTGCTGCTGCGCCTGCTGCGCCTGCTGCTCCATCGCCATCGCAGGCGGGCCCCGCGCCTCCTTCTGCACGGGCTGGGCCTCTCCGCGCAAGAAGCCGCCGGCCCCGATCTCTGCACGAGCCGCGGCGGCTGCGGAGAGGGCTGCAGGAGATACGCGCGACATCGTTCGAGCTTTTGATGTGGTCTCGGTCGATTCGATAGCACGTCGATTGTCCTTCCGCCGAGCTTCCGCCTCGCTCCCTGCTCTAGCTGTTGCTGCTCTTACCCTGCCTCCCGCTGCCCGTCTCGGCCCCACCAATGTTTAGGGCCCTTGGCCTGAGAGCTACGCCTCGCCTCACCGCGTCCGCCTCGGCCCAGACAATACTTGGGGCCCCTGGCCTAGGATCTACGCCTCTCCTCACCGCGTGGGGGAGAGAAAGCTTCCTGGCGCCGCGCGCCGATCCATATCGCATCTGACACACACACACACACACACGGGAAGCACACCAGTGTGAAGGGGCCCTGGGACACACAAATAAATACACACACACACAAAATGATTCCCCATATTCTCCCATATGTTCTGGGTTTCTGTCTTCCCCCCCACTTCCCATGTTTTCCAGTATTTTCCTGGGGATCGACGATTACTTGTGTCTGTGTGTTTTTTCCTCTCCTGACAGTGGACCACAAACCCGTGCTTCGTCCATCCGCTTCTGCCATCTGCCTCGTCGATCGTGCTTCGTCCACGGTCGCACACGTATACGCTGGCGTGGACCCCAAAGAGTGGGTCATTGCACTCTGTACGCAGCGCAACGCAATCTATACACACACACATATATATATACACACGATGAAGTTCGCGTAGTGCAATACATGTGGCAAGCCGTGGAGTGCAGACCAAATCGTGCCACATACGCACTCCAAGCTGCGTGATGCAAACGATGGCGTGAATTCCATGTGTGTGAGTTCCGAGTGGTAGAAGCCCATGTGGTACACTCGTCGCCGTGCGGTGTATACGTTGTCATCGGTGTGGTGCAATCGCCAGCCTGCGCAGGAAGCGCCCGCGAAGCGCCCCCCTGGGCGACGACCCGGCGGAAGCCCGGAGCGCTCAGCCAGCGCACGGGGCGCCCACGAGGCGCCCACGTGGTGCCGAGCACGGTGCGCCGAGGACGCGCCCACGGGCTGCCCGCCGGGCGAAGACCCCAGCAGACCCACCCGCACGAGGCACCCACGAAACGCCCAAGGGCGCCCGCGGGGCGGCACCCTGGAGGAGGAGGAGGAGGAGGAGGAGGAGGAGGAGGAGGAGGAGGAGGAGGAGGCGAAGGAGGAGGAGGAGGAGGCGGAGGAGGAGGAGGAGGCCGAGGACAAACCTGTCGTCCAGGCACTGTCTGGGGAGGTATGGGGGCGACGTGTGCCGCCGGCCTCGAGCGGCATGCGCAAGGAGGTGCACCGAGGTCCTGCTGGTGCCCGGCAGCACAGGGGGGGAATAGAAACAGCAGCTTTCTGTGGCGCACCTGCTGGCAGGCCTGCTTCTTACTCGATGTGTGCCGACTGTGCGCACACACTCGTGAGCAATACGTGGCACAGGCTGCGTCGATCCGAGATTCCTTGTGGGGCCCAGGGGCCTTCTTGGAAGATGCGAAATCATCGTGGTGCACCTGCTGGAAGGCTGGTTTCCAAGTTGGTGCGACCACTGTGAATACGGTGTCTCCAGGGGGGGGGGTAAGCTGGGCAAGTGGAAAAAAGGAAGGGAGGAGGAGGGAGGGAAGACGGGCGGGGAAGGAGGAGAGGAAGAGACGGAGCAGAAAAAAAACCAGCTAGCCCGCTCGCTGGACCCTCGGAGTCGGCCTAGGTAGACTGCCGCAGAGGGAGGGGATGGGGGAGGCAGAGGAGGAGAAAGCGCAGCGTCGCCGAAGAGTGTCTCCGACCTGGGCACATGGCCCAGAGCAGCTGGGGGGCCTTCCATCCGGTGCCCGGCACAAGCCGCCGCAGCTCGAGCCGCGCTGGCAGCTCGAGAGGCCCTCTTCGAAGTAGGGCACGCGTTGGCCCTTCTAACATGGTCTTAAGTCGGGCCTGTCCCCCTACAGGGGGATTTGGGGCGAACAATTAAAAATACAAAAAAAAAAAATCCAACATGGTCAAAAATAGTAAGAACTAATCCCCCGACTATGTTATGACTATTTTTGAATTTCCCTCCCGTAGAGGGACAGGCCCGACCTAAACATGGTCCCAGATGGCCCTTGGGCCCATCGCGCCCGTCACGCCCGCCACCGCACAAAGCCGCCAACAGTGCACAAGGTGCAGCTCTCCAGCCGGGGGCGACGGGCCCACGCCGAGGCATCTAATCCGTCTGCAGATCCGTCGAGGTGCACGGGGAGAAGGGCGCGGAAGAGTACGAGGACTGAGGTGCCGGGCGGCCCCAAAGGGTCGAACAAGTCCACTACCCTACACTGGACACTTACAGAAGCAGTATGATGCATTCTTCTTCTTCTTCTTCTTCTTCTTCTTGTTCATGGGCTGCGCATTCCAGAGCCACGTGCTTCGTGTGTAGTCGCTAAACCAATACGCCCGAAATTCTGTGCTCGGGCGCGCGCTTCAAGAGAGACGCAGGATCTGCGGCGCGAGACACCGAGCGCGAGCCGCCGCTCGAGCAGCGGGCGCACAGCGTGGACTGGAGCGGGAGGGGGAGGGGAGCGCAGGAGTGAAGGAGGAGGAGGAGAGGGAGGAGCAGGAAGAGGAGGAGGAGGAGGAGGGGGGG